TCAGGGTAAAAGACAACAATAGCAAACATTTAGCTTATTTTCTGCTCCTGACAGTTATGCTACTTTGCTTTTTTCAGACTTTTGTGTAAAACTGCACAATATTATGTTTTAAAAGTGACATAAAAGCAGAATTAATTGGCCACTCAGGAGAAACTTATTAATGGCTCCATTTAATATAGCTGCAGGAGCTGGAATAACTTTTACTGAAACAAACTTTCAACAATAAAAAAAGAGTTGCTGTCAAAATAATAATTGAAAGTAAAACGTTTTGTCAGCTTTTAGCTCTGATTCTGTCAGCAGCAACTTGACTAAACAGATTTTTTTCATATTTACACAGCACGTTTATTGATTTTTATGACATAAAAAGTATGCCTCCTGCCAAAATGAAAATAATAATACCATGAAAGCAGTGTCTTCAAGAAAAACAATGACATTCTGCTGAAACTCTCTCTGTAAAAACAGTAAGACGCACTGAGGAACGCTGCCAAGCCCCTGACCTCATCTGGACTGATGGCACCGACCTTCCTAGATAACTCATTACTCCATCATCTCCAGAAGATTTCTGTTGTGAGGCAGACTGAGCCTCTTGTACTGTGAGACCTGCTACTGCCTGTCGCACATCACTCTCATTAGAAGCTTACTGGCTGCTCCGTCTCTTTTTACTTGAACAATTGCTATTTATGTTATTAAAGTGATATAAAACGTGAGGAGTATCAGTATGCTTGTACTGTTACATAAACTGTACAGATTGTACTGTATATAAATACTTTATTCAGTATGATGCGAACTGCTGGTCAGGGAAAATAGTCTTTATACACTGAATATGTCTATTATACATTTATTATTTGTGTCTTAAAGGCTATTTTTATTAAAGAAACTTTCAAAAGGGTAAATCTTTCAATCATTATGTCTGATTTTACCAGCATGCCGTCTCTTTTTGTGATTTTAATAGCTCATAAAGTCCACTTACAGTGCAATAAATTACTAGATTCCTTTAAGAAGGTTGTTCTAAACAGCAGAAATCTGAAAGAACTCTTGCTGAGGCTTTCAGCTCAGCTGTGTTTCACGTGGGTGAGAACAGGGTATTGTTTTTATTTCCATACATTTCTTATTTAAGTAATTCTTATTTGTTGTGAGACTACTGTATTACACTTAGAGACAGAAGCTGGAAAGTTTTCTGTCAGTCACATGAATAAGTGTGTGTGCAAATATTGATTTTGACACTCCAATTATTGGGTGTCATCTTTTGCTTTTATAACACTGTCAGTCGCAAGTTGTTTATTTTGTCCTCCAGAAAAGACACTTAGAAAAAAGAACATTTCAGAACCACGCTGCAGTAAATGTTTTGAATCATCCTTTACTCTAATGCTTTTGTGCTGATTCTGTTTGTACGACGCTGATTGCATTATACTATTTGAAGAGTTCTGAAAGTATGAAGAAGACATTTGATGTTTTTCAATAAATGGAAATTCCAAACAAAACACGTTTGTCCTATTTATTTTTTAAGTTTGGTGCAAGTGAAGCATTTGGGGAAGGATACTGTATAGTCATGGTAAGAATAGAAAAATAGTGATTTAAGGTTTTAGTAAAAATATATAAAAACATGCAACAGTTATTAAATTATGGTGGCTTTATTTCTCTGTAGTATTAATGATTAAGTGTAATACCTGTAAAAAATGTACCTGGGTATTACGTAAAGTAGTAAAACTCTTTTTTTTACATAATAAAAATTGTTCAATTTTAGAATATTTGTTAAAATTTTCATCTGATTCAACATTGTAAAAAAAATTTTTTTAAATTTTGAGTTCATGTACCTTTACGATGTTTAAATCCAACAAACTATTACTTTTTAGATATACCTTGTGATTTTTTTTAGACACAAAGGAAGTACAGTACTTACAATTGCTGAAACATGTAGTCAGGTTTATTTATAAAACACATTGAAAACAGCAGCTGTTACCAAAGTGCTTAACAATTAGATTAAGGCAGTAATTAAAGAAAAGAAAATAACAAGATGTAATTAAAAGCATAAAAAACAAAAAGAATGAAAAACAATGAAATGTGTGAAGACATTTTAACAGAGCGAATGCTGCAAGAACTGACCGATAAATCTGTCAATCATCAGCATAACAATGAAATGAAAGACCATGTTTCCTCAGGATAGACCCCAAAGGGAGCAAATAGAGTGAAAACAAAATGGGTCCAAGAATCGAGCTCTGTGGGACCCCACAGGAAAGAGGCCCTGATGCAGATACACTATTTACAACCTTAACACATAAACTCCTGTCACTTAGCTGTAGAAGCATACCATCATAGTTATAAGACTGCAAGTAAATGTGTAAAAATAGTCCAAAGCTTTTTAACATGACTACAGCTACCTGAAACATCCGACAGGTGGACAATTCAAAAACGAAGAATTAAAAGGAATCTGAAGAAAAAACTACATTTTAGGCCAATATTGCATGAAGTTCTTAGTTCTTTTGTTGGATGTAACTGGGACACTTTGTACACAGTTTTTCGTTCCACTACATGTACCACATGTGGTGCGAATGACAATAAAGAACCTTGACTAGAAAAAAAGCTGAAACACTGTCAGAAAAAGCAAGAATGATTCAGTAAATGAACCAAAGGAAACCACTGCCTACAGCAAAAACAAGTCCAGAAAATGTTGAAAATAAAACTGTATTGCTTAAACATTGCTGGCGCTTGAAACACTTCAAAAATCAAGTATTTCACTTTGTGACAGAGTAATAAAATATTTATTCACGATGAATAGAAAAGTTCTGTTGAGACACTTCGTCTCTGGTATTTAATATTTTCAGGCTTCAGAACTCAGGTCAACTGGAAACAAGTAAACACGAGTCCTGTCTCTTAATGGAAGTCTTGTCTTTGCTTTGCTGGGACACCGTCCCACCTTTACACACACACACGCATGCACACACACACACACACACACACACACACACACACACACACACACACAGTTAGCTCACACACCAACTCACTCCTTAAATTGAATTCTGAGGTCTGACAGCTCCGTGTGATCCCTGGACAGCAGCCGGACTCTGGTGCTACAGTTCACTGCAACATGAGGAAGCACTTTGTCACTCGCAGTGATGCCTTACACACACACACACACACACACACACACACACACACACACACACACACACACACACACACACACGCACACACATTTGTATTACTATACCCAACACTGCATTGACTTCCGTTTGTTTCTGTATCAAGTAGCAATACAAAATACAGCCCAGTACTTACTGGGTATGTACCTAATTCATATTTAGTATGTGCCTATAGAGTGGGAAGAGTGGTGGCGCAGAGGTTAGAGAAGTAATCAGAAGGTTGCCGGTTCAACTCCCTGGACAGACTTCATCAAAATGTGGGTGGAAAAGGTGAAACACCCACATCGGCTCCACCCTCCCTTGCCCCACTATGGCCCCTTGAGCAAGGCCCTTAACTTC